GGAGCACCGTCACGTGCTGCGCGTCGGGGGGCATCGTGTAGGCCGGCACGATCCAGCCGAAGCGGCGCAGGAAGTCGGAGATCTCGAACTCGTTGTGCCGGCTGCTGTCCTTGAGGGAGAAGGCCACCAGCGGCACGCCGTTGTCCTTGGACACGATGTTGAACTTCCCCATCTTCTCCAGACCTTGCTTCAGAACCATCGCGTTCTCCTGGCAGTTCTCCATGATGTTTTGTAACCCTGCATTACAAGCACGCTAGCTTCTTAACAATCGAGAGCGTACTTATTTTCCACAGTGGTGTTTGTGTGTATCTGGATACACAAACAATTTTGGGGAAAATGTTACATAACTACTAATAAGCGATGAACTGAAGTAATTCACCTCAAACCCAAGGCGGATCAGCTGGTAGTACTGTGCAATAACCTGGCTGGAACCTGAAATTGTTTTGTGCACCATGAGCAGATTAGTCTGCCTGCCTGTATGACAACACACAATGCATCAAAGAACACGGAAAAAGGAGCCGGAAATGGCACCTTTGGAGAAGTTGAGGGTGAAGGTGGGCTGGTCGGCGCCGAGGTAGTTGATGTGGAAGATGAGCTCCTCCGGCAGGTCCTCCTTGGTCCTCCAGATGCACCACCCGATGCCGGCGTACACCAGGCCATACTTGTGCCCACTGACGTTGATGCTCTTCACGAGCGGCAGACGGAAGTCCCACTCCAGTTCCGGGTACAGGAACGGCGCGATGAACCCACCGCTCGCAGCGTCCACGTGGATCGGCGTGTCCCAGCTGCACGTTTTAGTCCAAACTCATAAGGATCGATCGCACACACCAGCATATATATTTATGAGGGTGCTTTGCTTGTCTATTTACAGTACTATTTACCCTGTCTCCGCGTTCTTCTTGGTGAGCAGGTCGTTGAGCCGCTTGACGTCCTCGAACTCGCCGTTCAGCGTGGAGCCGAGGATGGCCGCGACACAGATGGTGTTCTCGTCCACCATGTCCACGGCCTTCTGCGGGTCCATGACGTAGTAGCCGTCGCTCAGCTTCACTTCCTTCAGCTCCACCTCGAAGTAGCGCGCGAACTTCTCCCAGCAAACCTGCATTTTCCACCAAACACATTGATGGGTCGGTGTCGGTGAATGAAATACTTGAAATTTGAAGCACTGGAGTACGTGGCCTATGCAGACAGAATAGGATTGCAATTTGCTTACTTGGACATTGGCGCCGGTGACAATGTTTGGCTTGTCGCAGGGCTTGCCGGCGGCCTTCAACTTGTTCTGCCAACGCCTCTTGAACGCCAGCCCAGCCAACATGATGGCCTCGGACGAGCCGACGGTGCCCACTCCAACAGCCGTTTCAGAGTCCCCGAGAGGAGCATTGAAGAGATGCGCGATCATGTTCACGCACCGGTTCTGCACAATCACAATTCAGACGAAAAAATTCAATTCAAATCGATGATCATTCTGCTCTTTTACAGTGCAAATGGGAAAGTACGAAAGCTACAGTCATGTAGTTCTGAACTTGTGTTGTAGCGCCTCTTATATTATTTTGGATTTCAAAAAAGAGGAACTTAAACAATTTGAATCAGGCAATCTTAAGGATTTCAAATGCAGTTGCAAATATTAACCCACAAGAGAAATTGGCATTCACACTTAATGATATTTCCCCACACATCTTACTATTTAAATTGAGCATCCACATCAATTCTCATGAGATGTACTGAAAAGGAAAGAAAAATCTAAAAAATTCTTACAAAAATCAGTAGGAGTAGACTCTAATCACCACCGCTTATAATAGTCATTGTATCTATTTTATTTTCTAAATGTTTATTCACCTCTGCAATCATGAAAAACATTAAAGACTAATCCATCTGGATTACTACATATACCATTATGAAACATAATCTAAATTTTATTTTATTTTATTTTCAGGAACCCCTAATTTTTCATACAAATTACCCACCTACCATTAGGAGAGATAGTACAACAAACATATTTGCATCTAATTACCACCTCTGCGATTATTCAAAGTAAGCTAAAATATCTCAAATCCGAGATTAACAACATCTACTACATACACGGGCTAAAAATATAGACCAGCCTCCAGTGGACCAGTGCCCATTTAGAATAGAGAAAATTTATAAAAAGCATACAAAAATTAGTCCCAATTTTTTCAAAAAATACAGGATTTTTTTTAAAAAAATCTGCATTCCAGCCTTCCAGGCATGGCTCTAGACATTGGATCCATGAAATTAGGCGAATGAAATTACACAAATCGCTTACTCATAATTTTGTTACAGATTGATCAGACATTTTGTGTAAACAAATGCTGACCTTCCAACTCTCGATGGCCGATCAAACTTTGGTGGATGTCGTCATATTGGCAAAGGACAAGGCAAACTAAAACTCCAAAACCACAAGTCCACAACATAGACTCGTCTGATCTCTAATCTTGACGTTTATCAATGGCCACTTGTTAGTAGTAGAATATCTTTCATTAGTTCTGTAAAACTGTTACCTATTAGTATCAATAGTCATCACTTTTTTTTTTGACAACACAATAGTCATCACTTTTGAGGACACCCTGATGTGAGAGCACCGGCTGCTGCCGCGGCATTATTGGTGGGTGCCCCCGAGCAAGTTGGCCTCGTGTTCGCAGTCAGTCGGCTGTTCGCTTATCGGTTTCAGTCAGGACTTATTAGTCAGTCAACAGTATTTCTCTCACAACAAATCAGCACCGACCAGGCTTATCAGCCCAAAAAGCAATCAACGAACGGCGACGGCGACCGGCCAATTGGCAGCAGCGGGCAGGCGCTGATCATGAAGTGACACGCGTTCCTTTCTCATGGTTTCAGACAGGCAAAAAAAAGAGAGAAAAGAATAGGAGCAGATACACTGCCTAAAAATACAGATAATAGTACGGGATACTAGGATCTACTACTAAAAACCTGCACTAAAGACAACGAGCACTCGAGCAGGTTCCTCGCCGACCATATGACCTCGCACCACGTGACACTTTACAAACACTACCATCGAGCTCGAGCCCGTGGTTGAGACTGCGCGACACGAATCACTGAATCAGTCACATGCGATTTGTCCGAATCCACAGAAATAGACTGTTTGTCCTGAACTGTCCTGATGAGTATGGGCAAACGGCTTTTATTTCCGTCGCATCGGCATCGCTGCGTTGTCCGGTGGGCCGGTCCGCAGATTCCCGCGGTGATACATTGGGTACGGGGGGCCGGACTTGTTCGCAAATCGCAGCATTACGCTTGCTGATTGCCGTTGCGAAGCTGCGAAGGCAGCAGAAGTGCAGGATCATGGAGGCATGGACTGATCGTCTGATCCAAGGGATCAAGGGAAATGAGCCAGCGCTTCATTCGATCTTATCCCCGTCACTCTCGGTCTCTCGTGCTCTCTATCATTACAGCGGAAGGTGGAGAAAGAAACAGTGGTGGGACCGTGGACCAGGAAAGGAACCCCCATATGGTTTGGCTTGGATGCTCCATCGATGGCCATCAATATCATTTGTTAATATTGGATTAAACAAACGAGAAATGTATACTTCATTAGGTCTGTTATATCAATGGTACTTTAAGCATGTCAAACATTTTTTGCTATTTTTTTTTACAAATACTCATAGAAAAACAAATGGTCAAAATTTTAAATAAACATTAAAGAGTAAGATCAAAACTGCCGACTAATATGGAGGGGAGGTTAATGCGTGGAACTTGACTTTTTTTATTATTTTTTGTCTGGTTTGAACGGCCCCAAAGGAATTGTCTGGAATCCATGGAAATACAATAGGAAAACATTGCTTGTCCAGTTGTCCTTGGAAAGGTTTTTTTTTTCTGTCGTATTGCTGCGTACGGTGCCTGGTCCACTGTGCAGGGGAACGTTCCCCTCCCCGCTACGTTTGCTGTTGCGAAGCTTCAAAGCAGCAGAGCACCGACTCATCAGTCATCCAGGGTGTCGCTGTATTGGGGGGATTGGGGGGCAGTGTTTGATTATCTCCGTCACGCTCTTTTTCTCAACAGCGAGATTATTTGGAACCCAGGAATTTTTAAAATCTTCCCAGAAATCGATTCGTTTTTATTAAAAAAAATGTAGAGACAGAAATTTTTCTCATATTTCAAAAGGGGCCTCAAAGAGAAAATGGGGCAGTATTGCAGTAACGAGTATCGGAGTATGTGATGTGATGGCTGGCCTGTATAGTGGATACTCGCGTCCTCTTCGCCGTACTTTTTCAATAGTTTAGGCAGACTAAAAAAGCGAATATTTTTTGTTTTTTCAGTAACATTCAATTAAAAAAAAAATAGTACTAGTTGTTACTTTTTATGGTTTATCAATGTAGCGAGTGAACCGGACATCGGTCATTTTGATTGTTTTAATCTATAATTAGTTTTTTACTGAATCTAAGGCCAAAATCTAAAAATTTTCGGATTAAACGCCATCCATCCATTATATATATATATATATATAGAGAGATCCAAGGTCAGATCAGAGGCCAAGTGGGCCAATGAAAAACCACGAGCCGTGTTTGACTACTGTTCTATCGCAAAGAACCAATCAAAAAAACGGGGGTCAAGCAGGCAAGGGAAAGTGGGGAAAAGGATGGATCTGATTTGCCGATTTGGAGCATTCGGGTTTCGGGATGAGGCCAGAAAACCACGCTATCACGCCCGAAACTAGCACTAGATAGCTGCGGCTCGATTGATGAGCGCGATCGACGGAGCAACAAGCAGGAGGAGGCGGCGCGGCGCGAGCGTACCTGCAGCTCGGTGGTGACGGGGTACTCGTCCATGTCGACGTAGTTCTTGTTGAGGGAGGCCTGGATGAGCTTGTCGCACTCAGGCTCCATCCACGTGGTGACGAAGGACGCCAGGTTCAGCCGCGGGTTCCCGTCCAGCATCAGCTCGTCGTTGATGATCTGGTACGCCGCCTCCTTGGGGATCGACTGCTCCGACATCCGGAACCTGCGGGCGGGCCAGGCAGCAAGCGGTTAGCGGCGGTTGTTCCGGCGAAGAAAACTGCAGCGCGTAATGCTCCCGAGAGAACGCCGGAGGAAGGCCGGCCAGGCGGCGGCGCGGCAGCGGCACACGTGCCTGGGCAGGGAGACGCGGACGTAGCGGGACGCGAACGTCGAGTGGACGGACTCATCGGAGCCCCCGACGCCGTGTGACAGCGCCATCTCGTTCGTCGATCTCTCGCCGGCGGGGAGGAATAGGGGTGTGTTTGCTGCTGCTGCTGGTGGTGTTGGTGGCGGCTTGGGGGAGGGGATATAGACCAGAGCAGGAACCGACGCGGCGACACCCCACGCGGTCGACCCGCGGCTTTGCGGCATTATTAATTTTGGAATGGGATGGGATGCGTGGTGAGACTAAAAAAACAGTGAGAGAACCCTGTGCCTCCGAGGTAAAAGTAAAACGAGAGCGTGTCCTTCTGGCCCCGTTTTACATGAGGTAGGCCCGGTGTGACGGTGTGTACTCCCTCCGTACCGTAAAAATGACATTTAGGACAACATTTAGTATAAAATGAGTCATGGCTGACTATTGGATCGGCTACGGCGATCGTCCTTAGCCACGGTCTTTTGCGCTGGGCTGACGAGTCATGACTAACTGTTGAATGATTCGTTGTAAGAGAAAAATATTATTTATTGATTAAAAAGGTATGATATTATTTATTGATTAAAAAGGTACGACTTATTGATTAAAAAGATACGATATTATTTATTGATTAAAAAGATACGACTTATTGATTAAAAAGGTACGATATTATTTATTGATTAAAAAGGTACGACTTATAAGTTAAACAAACATGGCGTTTGTACGCGGAAAGTTTCCGATTGCTCGTCACGCGCTCCTTCCATGTTGCTCCACCTTCTTTCTCTTGTTTTCTTCCCTTATTAGATATAATAAAAATAAATTAACTAGTGCTGATAAATAAATTAATTGTTAGTGGAGGATTGGTTTCCCTGATGCCGGCGGGAAGGGGGTGGATATATGATGGATGGACGGTGGAGGCAGGGCAGCGGCAGTCGGTGATATTCTTTTGTTTTTGGCGACACGCTTTGACGCTACCACTGTTTCTTTTTAATTATTTCATTCAAACGTATTAACCTAATCCAAGCATGCCTGCACACCTCTTGGCTCTTGCTTTTTCTATTGGCGGATACCGGATAGAGAGAACTTGAAAGGTCTGTTCGTTTGTACTTGTACTTGTACGCGTATGAATATGATAGGGGCCAAGCACGATGGGAATATGGAGTGGTTGTTGGGAGATCTTGCTCCTCATGAGCGTCGTCCGCTACTGTTAACCATCGATTCAAATTGCCATTACAATAAACACGCTAGAATTCTTGCTCTAAAAGAACTGCAAAAGAACTCCAATGGTTTGGGCCTTTGGGGCCGGCCATCTCACTTTTATGATGACCATCTACTCAATACTACGGATCAAGTCCTTTTCAAAAATTTAGGGAAAAAAACATCATTCTAACTTCAAAGACACGTCTACTAAAATACTCAACAACATTTATAAAATCTCCCAACAATCCCCACGAAATAATTATTAAATTGTTTCCTAGTTCAAACAAAAGAGTCATCGAAAAAAAAAAACTTGGCAGAACAACTTTGAACATCTCTACCTTAAAGATTCATGTTAGATCTATAATTTATAGGTTAAATTAAAGCCGTCTAGATATTGATATCTAGTCCAAACTATAAATAAATAAATCATCTATCTATATGTATCTCTAGCTACAGACCTAAGATTTTTAGGTGCTATAAATAACTGAATTTCTTAGAGCTAGAGCTCGGTCAAACGGAGACTAATAATAAATAAAAATGCATTCAGTGAACTGTTTAACAAATCGTGTATCTGCTCGTCAAGTTTCTTGCTGCTCACACGGTTGCGTTTCTTTTGAGTTGCAACTATGGTCTTCAATACGACAATTGTTGACTTAATATTCTTAAAGTTGTTTATAAATAATATTTTTTATAAGTCTTGTGTTAGACTTTACATATATAGAAAGTGACATTTTTTTCATATCCCTCTGCCCTAAAATAAATAGCATTCTAAGGTTTAAATTTTATCCCAAAATAAATAACATTGTACACAAACATGGAACACTGTCTCCTAAATACATAAGCTATTTATGCATGCAAATGATAACTGTCATATTTAAGAGAGATCTTTCGGGAAAGGAAATGAGACGAGGGTACATGCATCTTTTGTCAACATCCTTAATATGTCTAAAATTTTCTAAAATCTTATTTATTTATTATAGGATGAGGAAGTATAGAACGCATCGTTTTTTTTTTCTAAGCGGGAAAACATCATTTTTAATATTGTAAGATATAAGAGTAAAGTGCACAATGTGCACTAGCAGCCAACCTTGTCCCATAATATCATGTATCTAGATCGCTAAACTTTATAAATAATATATGCCTAAACGTGAGTGTGAAAGGTCCTATCTCTTCTAATCAATGGCAACGGCTGATCAAAGGATGGAGCCCTCGTCGAGGAGAACGAAAAACTGAAGGATGCGGTGAAGCTTATGGAGAAAAACGTCCAGAGAGCCCAACGCGAGCGTGATCTTGCCGAATCAACCGCGCGGGATCTGGAATACCAGAAGGGCGTCCTATCCGAGCAGCTGGCGACCGTGTCCGAGCAGCTGACAAGTCTTTCCGAGCAGCTGGAGCACAAATCCAAGCAGCTGACGAGTCTTTCCGAGCAGCTGAGAAACGCCTCCGAGCAGAGAAAAGGTATAGCGGATCGGCGAATTTGCTTTGCATTGCTAAACAGTCTTATTGTTGCTGACAACCGTTATACTTGTAGAGGAAGACGCGGAGCTTGATCAATTGCGCCAAGTCGTTGGTCAATTCTAGGAGGAGGAGAAGAAAGCGTCTGGGTGGGCAAAGAAGTTGGCCGAGGAGCTGAAAGGTGAGTACTTCGTGGTCGGAGTTATTGCTGAAGTGACTTCTTCGTTTGACGCATCCGTTTGGTGCCTGCAGAATACCGTCGAAAGACCAAAGCCCAGTTCGACGTGCTGGAGCAGAGGCGCAGACCCAAAGGCAAAAGCTCGACGCCATGGTGGCCGGAGTCAGGCCGATGCTTGACTGCATTGACATGGAGGTAACTCCTCAGCCCGATGACAGGCCGCCTCGTTCGGACACCATCATCGACAGGTGCAAGGCGGCGTGGGAGAACTTCAAAAGCTTCAACCACGACGCCACTATCTCCGCCGTGACCCATGCTCTGGCCCTGTTCGCTTCTCTTATAATCCGTCTTTTTCAGCTTATTTTTTTAGCCGAAACCGTGTTTTTTTTTACAACAAATCAGCCGGAACAATGTTTCGGTTTGTTTTTTCAGCGAAGCGAACGGAGCCTATATAATCCATATGTCTACAATTATTTGTTGACCAACTTTCACATGTCTTTTTAATCATTGACATGAACAGACAATGCATTCTTTTCGTCAAGAAAAGACTTATTTTTAAATACCATTATTAGGTAACTCGTCTCCAAAAGGGGAGTCAATGCAACCATCCTCCACGTCGGAAATCATTTCTATAGAATCAAGCAGCCTTTTAATTATGCTTGTACTAATGAACTTCTTCACATCACCCGTGACATCATCTATGACTTTGGGTAAAAGCATCGATAGTTTCATGAGTCAGGTTTTGCATAAGGTATGTGTTTTTTTCTCAAAATATGCTGTAAATGCTTGCGTATATGCACACCTTCTATAGAATTAAGTTGACAAATCTTGAGATCGTTAGACTCATCGCATGCTATATCTGTTGTCATCGGATACGTCGTTTGTCACTACCACTAAAAAAAAATAGCATCATAAAATCTTATAACGTAGGTTCCACGGTTCCACCACAAGAAACTAATCCTAGTCTAGTTTGCAAGTAAGTAACATATACTCCCTGCTATCATAAATAAATGGCCTTTTTAGAATTGTGTCAACTATTTCAAACTTTTGACAGCTATTTTTATTATAATATAGTTGTAATATAAAATATAAACAAACATGCAGTTTTATAGAGTTAAATTTCAAGACAAATCTACACCTATATCACTTTCAAACACTGAAACTCAACACGTAAAAAGCAATGTGTAAAATATTTTTCATGGCAAATCTGAACGTACCACTTTCCAAATTAACATGTTACTTATTTTAGAATGGATAGGGAGTATTTAACTTAAGTTAGGCTGTGTTTAGTTCGCGAAATGAAAATTTTTGGATGTCACATCGGATGTTTCAGGGATGTCGAAAGAGGTTTTCGGATACTAATAAAAAAACTAATTACATAACTCGCCTGAAAACTGCGAGACGAATTTATTAAGCCTAATTAAGCCATCATTAGCGCATGTTAGTTACGGTAGCACTTATGGCTATTCATGGCCTAATTAGTCTTAAAACAGTCGTCTCGCGATTTTCAACCAAACTGTGTAATTAGTTTTTTTCGTCTATATTTAATACTCCATGCATGTACCGTAAGATTTGATGTGATATTTTGAGATGAAATTTTTTTTGAAAGTAAACAAGTCCTTAGTGTGGCTGCGGCACTTCCAAGTTCCAACTCTAGATACCTAAAATATCGATACTGCTAGCGCGACGTCCGGACGTCCGTACTGCAGTGCGCTTTTCGCCATTTCACACGCCCACGTGGGGGCCAGGCCGCTCGGAGGCACCATCCTTTAGCTGTCTCAAGTGGCCACTGACCACTGCTGCAGGGTAGTGGTATGCTCGCTGCCACTAACCGTCGTGGAGGCGAGAAACACCACCGAAAATATGATCCACACCGACTAGATGGAGATTCGCTGTACTTGCTCGATCTACTTTTGAAATATTCATATGCAACACTTGAAGCATATAAAAGAAGATAGATGAAATATTTGAAACATGATTCTGAAACACTTGTAAAAATATATGTAAAACAGATGAAAACTATTGTAAACATACCAATATCCAGATAAAACACTTGCAACTTATGTGTGAAACATGTGCAACATCAAGATAAATACGCTTGCAACAATACGTCTGAAAACACAAATAAAATATTGGGAAAGACCTTTGCAACATATGTGTACAACCATTGCAGAATATGCAACATCTCAATTTACTTTTACAACATTCATCTGAAACACTTGTTGCATACCTCTGAAACATCCGAAACATATGCTTGTAACATGCGTTTCAGTATATCCCAACATCTTCTTGCTGCTTGGGAGAATGGAGTCTTGTCGACGTGTAGAGTTCGCCGGAGACAGCGGCTCGACGGTGCTTGTAGGTGGTGGGCTGACGACGGTGGCTACGCGGCGCGGCAGGGAGGCA